AATTCTATAACAAAGAATAATTAACTTATTCGTAATGTTTTCTTAATTAAAATGATTTATTTTTTAATTATCGTAGTAAAAACGTTGTAAGTCGCGTCCCTACCCGCCCATCATACATACGTATATTCAGCCCTCACCCGTTTTACTGCTTTTAATTGCTAACCATCTCTGACGATTCAGGTCATCTTCCTCGCGTTAAATTCCTTCCGTAACGAAAAATTTGTAATTTGAATATTCAATATGACCTCGCTGTTTCAATTTGCCTGAAGATTATAATGTAGACTCGTAACATAAAAATTTACAGGAAATTTTCCTGTTTCTTAAATTGAGTTCATATATTGTATATTCATATATTAGCTTTAAAAGTTAGTGAATAGATTTTAAACTTCTTTAATATACAGTTGTATTTACATTGAAAAGAGAATATTAGTTGGAAAAATTAAAAACTAAAAAAAACTGTTGCCCTATATCCTTTTAAGACCTGAGTCCCAGATTTCTGTACATATTACTGTTTCGTGATCATTAGTTTTTTCTAATAGGCAAATAGTTGATCAGCCTTATGTGGTCTAAGACATGCCAGGTTTCCTCACTATGTTTTCCTCCACCGTACGAATGTTGAATGCACACAGACAGAAAAACCATTGGTGTACAGCCGAGGTTAGAACTTACGACCTAAAGATGAGAGTCGCACGCTAAAGCCACTAGGCCAACTCTCCTCGAAATTAAAATACTAAATTCAATTACAATAATTTATACTATCATCATATTGTATAGTATTTCGGAATCCCTTCCGATGGTCCCCATGGTCTTCGTCTTGATTATAATCTAGAAAACTGCTTCATTCGTCTCATGATAAGATATGCCAGATACCTCATGTAACTACGGTCTAAGTTAGGACCAGTCAAGTCTGGATTATCTCTTGCATAAATGGCCAGTCTGGATAGAGATTACCCACCGTGGCCAAATGATACTGGTAAATTTTTATTGTACTATAAATAACCTTAACTTGTCTCAATAAACATGTATTTTTTTATATAAAATCAAAAGCCTTTAATTTGATTTCCAGTTCCTGTCGCATTGCAATGAGTAAAGCTGTTTAAAGCAATGTCACAATAATTTTCCGTAATCGAAGCATAGAAAGCTATTATGCGGTCGTTAAAACCTAGACGAAAGGAAGGAATTCTTGCCACCGCATTGCATGATCAAGCACCCCTTTCCACCCACTTGATGTATTCGGAAAAGGAAAACTAACAAAGAAGTATTTCTTAGTATTTCTTAAATAAAATATATATTTTACTTTATATTAACTATTACGGTTTTGTAGTTTTTATTGCCACACACGTTGATTGATCTTTCAGGATGGCTTATTTACCTCGAAAATTAGAAATAGAAGAAAGTTATTGTCAAGTCAAGAGTAGGTACTTGCCACACGTATCTTCGTTGTTAATCAGACAAAAAATAATTTGTGGTAATAGTGTAAAAACCCTATGACAGCTACACGTTTGATATACCATAATTTATTAAATATCGCATTTGTGAAATAGTAATAATGGGTAAGTAGAACAATGGCCTTTTTTTATTTTATAAAAGTAATTTTCCTTATTAAACTTTTCAATATACTATTGAAAAATGTGTATATACCCTGATTCGTATTGAGAGCGAATCGATATTGGTTATTGAAAATGGTTTGTAGTGTCAGCCTATTAGTACAGGCCGGATAGATAACAGGGCACGAGCGCACGAGCCTCTTATAATGAGTGCCGTAAACGTCATAGCTCATTAAATGTAGTGGTTTGAGAAAATATTACATCGTCGCTGTATTTTCATACATGTGACTGAAATTATCTTACTAGGTACACACACGCATCTAATAAATACGAAGATTATTTTAAGAACTCTTATACTTATAGAAAACTACGGCTATTTAAAAAAAGTAAGTTCTCCATAAAAAAATTGTGTAGCTACGCTATAAAAATTAAAATTAAACTAAATACACCAAACCATTGATTCATAAAGCATTTTGAAAAGTCCGTGGGAATAATGGATATTACTCCTTTATTATTATAGTTAAGCCGCAATAACCGTTCACTGATAAATACCTGCTTAAAATAAAAGCAAAATGGAGAAGTCTAGAGAAACTATCAATGTCATGCTAATTTCTATATACCATTACGAACAACAATTTAATTGATTTGATTTTTAATTCAAATGAAATAGGTACTGTATTGCAAGATGTGGTCATTATAAATAAATAAATGTTTGGTACATTATTCGAATAAGCTGTCGAGAAAAAGTTTTAGATGCTATTTGTGAAATCTAAAATTTATTCACAGTTTGACTGACGATTTTCTTATACTTGTGTGAATTGAAACCATTCAATTCAAAGTTATTGATGTTTGAAAGTTATTGACCTATACATTATTTTTTTTAATTCTGTTAAGCTTTAACAAAAATACTAAAAACTACACGACAAAAGAATAAGTGGTCGGCAATAATGACAAGACGATTTTTTTTACTTCTTTTAATTCAATAATGTTACAAATGTAAAAACCTATTAACGAGTGTAACCTCCTCTTGTCAAAACCACAGCTTGAAGCCTTCTGGGCATGCTTTCCACGATGTTTTTAATAACGTTTAGCTCTATTTAGCTCCCTGATTTTTTGTGGAGCAGTTTGCAGTGATTTAGCTTACTTCTCTCTTTAGAACATCCTAGACATGCTCAATTGGATTGAGGTCAGGACTTCGAGCTGGCCAATCTAAACGACTGATCCCAGCTTCTTGCATGTACGCTTACACGTCGGCAGAAGGGTGCTGGCGAGCATTGTCATCCATAAAAATCCATAATTCTTAAGTTCGGAATTCGGACTTCCATTCGCTACCGGTGTGCATTTAAATTTTAATGTTCCACTTTCTACGAAAACTAACTCCATGCGCTCCGTCGATTTAATTGTTGGCCAAAATATAACTGAAACTAAAAAAAGGTTGAAGCAACTTAAAGACCACTCACAATTCATACCAGTAGATAGAGATAGAGTAATAGACAATCAATAGCTAGGGAAGTGTCGAAATTTTACTTCACGTTATACATGGGAAGAGATACAACAACACTCATAGAAACAGTAAAATTACCCAACTATAATTAATTACCGCCCAACTCGCAGGCCTCTTTCTCGCCTTTATTTGGTCCAGTTTTGCCATTTATGACTTTCATCGTTCATTCTTTGCAACTTAAGGCAATTATATCTGCACTGGTACATTTCAATTGCGGTATTTTCAAATCTTAACAGGTGGAGTTGTCACGCAAGCTGCGAAGCGCATTTTTTCGTCTTCCAGGCCTTTTTTGCGTTGAGGGACGGCGTCTTGGTTACACTCCCGAACCCTCTCCGCATTCTCTTTAAGTGTTCCGACGGCCTCACAGAACGTTTTGAAAGTGTTCCACGGGCCGTCACTATCTGCCTCCACCATAGCTTTCACTATGACTGGAAGCTACAGATCCAATCCGAAGGTGGCGGTTAGTAAGCTACGTTCAGAGCTCCACGCCGAACAAATCTCTAAAGTGTGTTGCGCTGTGTCGTCGGCGAAACCACACTCGTGACAAATGGGGGATGCCTCCCTCCTGGCAACCCTGTGAAGGTATCCACCGAAACATCCATGGCCTGTGAGGACCTGAACGAGTCAGTAAGAGATTGCCCCCATTTTCTATTTACCCACAAGTTGAGCACTGGATGTAATTGTCCAGACTCCTGCCCTGTGATCTTGTAACTCATCTATCCATTTCTGAAGGCCCAAGTGATCGTACTTGGGCTTCCCGTCTCCAACTGTTTATGTGTTCAGGAAGGGGGTCAAAACGCCTACTTCTACTATCTGCCCTATGCCAATAGATCCTGGCTAGGGAAGCCGCTTCGAGGTGCCAGGGGGCAGTTCCTGCAATAACACACGCCGCCTCGCAAGAGACGGTGTGGTACGCCCTTGCCACCCTTATAGCCATCACCCGTTGCGACTATCTTAGAATCGCCCTGTTTTGAGCGAATAGACAATGGCCCAAATGGGGCATCCGTAGAGGACCTTCGCCCGGACTACACCTGCAAATAACCGGCGACACCCCACACTCGGCCCACCAATATTTGGCACGAAGCGGCAGAGTGCCATGGCCGTGGTAGCGAGCTTCGGGGCAAGTGCCGCGAAGTGATCCTTAAATGTCCATCGAGAATCGAGGACAAGCCCAAGATACTTTAAAGAGGGGCTTTCTCTTATGGGCACACCACATACGACCAATTGTGTACCAAACAATATATTATGCCTTAGCGTAACAAAGTTGATGTTAATTTGAAATTCTATGCATACCTACGCGCGTTTTGGTATTACATATATTAGTTAGCACAACTACCTCCACGCGCCGCTAGTGAGCTACAATCTCGAGTATTGACTCTATATCTTATACATAATGTACTCTATGATACATTATATATCGGATTTATAATATATATTATACAGTTCTAATTCTTGAACCATATTTTCTTCAAATGTCAAAACTCAAAACCAAATAATGAAGTTACTGATTCCTCCCATCGCTACTTGTGTTTTTTGCTCAAAAACAAAAAGTATTATATTGCATTATATAAATACGTAAAAAATACCATTGGGATGATTTAAATAAATAAGTGAAACATTTGAATAACAAGTGAAATTACAAAATTAGTGCCCGAACAATAAGACTTGGATTAAAAGTCTCGTTGCCAGGCCATAAAATCTAAAAAAAAAAATCATGTTCGCAATCGTTCTGTTTTGAGTTTTCCAATGAAACATTTTCTAGTATTTCAAGTTTAATGATAATCATATATCATTTGTTCGTAGTTATTGGCTGTTTTTAACTACAGAGGAAATTAAAATAAATAAAAACTGAAATATGATTCTTTATTATACAGATTGATTTGTAATATCACACAGCTGATGACGACTTCATAAACTTTTCAATAGATAAACAAAGTCAAGTTCCCAATATGGACCAAAATAATAGAAGAAGAACTGATTTAGAAGTCGCAAGTTTTGATAGTGGTGAGCCAGGATTTGATAGAGCACGCATGAGAAGACAATCAGGTGGCTTTGTTGACTTAGGAAATGAATCACAATACGGAACCGGTGGACACCAAGCTTCAGGAGCTAACGAGATATTTGCTGACGTGCAGGTGCGAAAGTAACTCAGGTTACGATTTTCACAATTTATATAAGTTTTTACTCACCATATTATATCTAATTTTACAGGGTGATGTTCCATGGTGGAAGTCCAACTTCTTTATTTCTCAGCCAGTTCTGTTTGGAACATGGGATGGAGTATTTACTTCATGTCTTATAAACATATTTGGTGTCATTGTATTTTTGAGATCTGGTTGGATGGTGGGACAGGCCGGCTTAGTTAATGCTGTCTTAATAGTATTTTTTACAGGTACAGTTTATTATTACATCACTATTTTCATAACACAATCTTTAAAAATATTGTTAATTATGGTTTTTTTAACATTTGAGATCCAATATATGAAATCTGATACAGTAACATATTAAGTACTTATAAGTCATAACAAATAATATATGCTAAGTAACTCATGCATCATTAAGAATTAGGTTGCCTATCTGTCATATTAATGTTGTTGAACAATAAAATGTTGCATTAAAGAACTTTGATTAACTTAATTTATTATTTATGACACTGTTCACATATTATTAAATAAAGCTCATGTCTGTCTGTATAAATACAATGAACCCAAAAAATATAAAATGATCCCTACCATAGCCCAATTAAGTTGGTGTCCATTCACCAATTCGACAAGAGTAAACACCATCCCTTCTCGTTGGTATGCAAAAGCATTATCAACCCCCCAACAAAAAAGGCCCATAGGACCCAACATGTTTTAACAGATCAGGATGATTTGTTAAAACATCTTGGGTCATAATCTAACTAATAACACATTAAAGTGCAGCAAAGCCAAAAACATACAGTGGTATTCCTGAGGAATGTTTAGTAATATATATCATTAAGTTATTATGTTTTTTGTAAATTTACTGATATATTTAATGATTATTATTAAAGTAGTCACAAAAATCTTGCCAATATAAACAAAATTTATCTGGGTAACTGGGTAGAAGTCACTTATAATATGTTATTTATTTTTGTTATGTAACAGATGGTACATATTTCCTACATAGGTTTTCAAATATGTACTTAATAATTAAATTGATAATATGTAACTTATCTTATTTTTAATAATTTTCAGTATTTGTTGCATTGATCTCAGTCCTGTCTGCTGTTGGAATTTGTGAAAGATGTAGAATTGAAAGTGGTGGAGTATACTTTTTACTAGCCCATACTCTTGGCTCTAGAATGGGTGGAGCATTGGGAATGGTTTACTGCTTTGGACAAGTATGTTTCTTGATAGTATTTTTAACAAGAAGTTTTTATATGTTTAATAATTATATTAAACTTTATTTTTAGGCTGTTGGATGTGCATTAAATGTGTTTGGGTTCGGTGAATCAATGGCTAGTCTTGTTGGGACAGATAATACATGGGCGGCTCGAGGATTTGCAGTTTCAGCTGTGCTCCTATTAGGCACTATAAATGTTGCTGGAGTGAAGTGGGTCATAAAGCTTCAATTTGTGTTACTTCTTATAATATTAGTAGCTGCGCTTGACTTTTTTGTTGGTTCTTTTACAACAGTACCAGGTATGTTAATTTAATTTAATGGTTACAAACTTCACTTATTAATACATTTGTATTTATTAAAATTATTGCATTATGTTTTTCTTTTAGATGTGGAGTTTAAAGGTTGGCTTGGTGGTACTATAGGAAATAATACTTGGGCAGATTATCAAGACGGTTATACATGGTTTAAATGTTTTGGTGTGTTTTTCCCTACTATAACTGGTATTTTAGCAGGAATAAATATGAGTGGTGATTTAAGGAATCCATCTATTAACATACCTAATGGTTCTCTTGCTGCTATAAGTACAGGGTATGTATTGACACTCTATTTTTTTATATCATAGATTTCATACCATTTTTTGAATTATGAGATGGTGTGTTATATAATTGCTGTCATTCTAAAATAGGCAAAGTGTTTTCTTAAATTATTGTTGTTGTTCAAAGAGTTAACTTAGAGCCAAAATTGAATTGAAATTAAATTGTATTGAAAGCTGTTTATATATTAAATGTACATTTTGAAGCTCCATTTTTTATTCTTGACTAATGAAAATACAAAAAAATATTTCAGGACATTTCTATACCTTATGTTTGTGATAACATTAGCAGCAACTGTAACAAGGGAGGCATTGCTAACAAACTTTTCAATAACAGCCGACATGTCAGCTGTAAAAATACTGTTACTTGCGGGATTATATGTCAGCTCCATGAGTTCTTGTTTAGGAGCCATGTATGGAACTCCTAGAGTACTGCAAAGTATAAGCAATGAGAAAGTTATTCCTGGATTGGAGGTCTTAGGCCATGGGGTATGTTTGTAAAAAAACATCTAATGATTTTATACATGTATACACAATACACTTTTTTATTAAATATCAGCCAGGAATTTTATACATTATAATAAACTACAAATTTTTGTTTACTTGCATACATATACTGATTGGATGAATAACACAATATATACCAAGCTTTTATTATGACACAGTCAAGTTTTTTTTCGTTCCATATTTTGATTTTATCATTCCATTAATACCACTTACAGAGAGGACCCAACAGAGTGCCTATTTACTCTATGATTGTTGTAGCAGTAGTGACAGTAACATTCATCATCATAGGGGACATCAACAAACTTGCACCAATTGTAACCATGCCCTTTCTAATCACATATGCTAGCATTGATTATTCTTATTTTGCCCTCGCTCAAACATTTGATTTGCAACATCGACGTGAAATGAGGTATGGTTTGTTCATTTATTTCATTAGTTATTATTCAGCAACTCATTATATTGTTTGTTGTTAAACCCCTACATAAAGTTCATTGATTCCTTTTTTAAAAGTATGTAATATGCTATTTTTCCATACCACTAGAGATTTTGTTCATTATTATTCTATAGATTTCAGGGACACTCTCAGCGTGACCCACAGGTGTATGGTGCAACTGGAAGTGACTTGGATTTATTATTTCCAGAGAGAATCCGACATAAAACTGTTGGGGTAAGTTTTTAAACAAACTTCTTATCTAAAAATGTGTTTTTCTGGTATTTATAGTGTTTGATTTTTTTTTTAATTTACATTTCAGGACTTCACACCATCGCCAACTGATTCGGCGATCATGAATGGTCGTACATCAAATGGAGAGGTTCGGCCTGCAATAAATGTACATTCTAAAAATAAGAATTGGTATTCTCATTTATGTAACAGATGGCTTTCACTTGCTGGTGTGAGTATATACAAAAGTTATGACTAAACTATTATAATGGCAGTGAATAAAATTTTACTCCCCTAGCCTATAAGTTTTACCAATTACCGGCAGTCACTCTCCGAAATCTCTACTTGTTCAGTCTAAATGCCCGCCTTCCACTGCGAGCGGAACGGACCCATTACGGACTCCGCTATACTCGTAACGATGATTTTCATACATTTTCATTCCCGTGGGAAACTCGGTCAACTCGCTAACCTGATATGTGACTATCAACTCCCTCTCTCCGCTGCGCTCTTCTCTGCTTTAGTGGAAGCACATGTATGAAAATCATCGTTACGAGTATAGCGGAGTCCGTAATGGGTCCGTTGCGCTCGCAGTGGAAGGCGGGCAAAACAGTTGTTCCACTGACATGACCCGCTCCGTCCAATCTCGGATGTTCCATTTTGCGCCTACCCGGTATCCGTTTATCCGCATCTTTATAGTCTGCATATGAGGCCTAGATATGAGACATTCGTGTGCTTGATGGTATGGACAAGTATTTATATCATTATCATTTTTAGGTGGCAATAAAGCTTCTACTCATGTTCTTAGTTCATTGGATGTATGCAATTGGCTGCTTGCTTATTTTGTGGCTGTTATGGTTATATATTGGAGCAGCCAATCCTGCCGTAAAGCCAGGCCGAGCATCGGAATTTCGGTTCTTTCATTGGTTGAAAATATCCTTCTTACAAGCAATTGGGTAAATATAATACAACATAATTAGTATTTTCGTTCTAAAAGCTAATTAGTTATTCATTTTAAACACGAAAATTTGTTTATTTAATTACCTTAGTCATTAAGTAATTAATATGGTTTAATAGCTATTAAGTAATGACTATTGAACTTCTATTGTATTATAGCTTAACTTCATTCCCATTGTATTATTATATTCCATATATTTAAAATATAATCTTGTTTAATTGTGAATTATATTGGTAACAATTTAGAAATAGGAGGGTAAGAGTTACAGCGGGTGGGGGCTGCTCTCTTTCCGCGCCTACGGATTTAAAATAACGCTCTAGGGGTAGAACAGACTAGTAGCAAATCAGTTGAGGTAGACTGAATTGATCTGGTCATAAATGCGGACCTAACTTAAACAAGATCTAGTTTACACGTAGATAAATATTAATGCAGCAGTAACGGATTAAATCTGTCAGTGTAATTTCTGTCAAATTCTGTATTCATACAGATACCGGCAAACTTCGTGCCAAGGGAGTGGGGAAAGTTTGCGCATCGGGGACACAAACGTCAACTGATTTACCAATCACGCGATCGACACGTCACTCCCGCCGCCCCCTCCCAGTGATACCTAAAAATCGCTTCTGCGCAAGCAAGGACATTTGTTCAAGATGTTTGCCGGTATCTGTAATAGCCGTTTGCGTTTCGTTTCGCATGTTTTGAAATACACGCTACTTGAAATATTATAATAATTAATAGAAAAGTATAAAAAGTACGTTTCGTTTTACAAATTTCCATACAATATACAAAATTTAATTTTTTTTTTTATAATTAGACGCAACACCGGCAGTCAAAATTACTTGGAGGGGTTCCAATCAAGATCACCCGAGATACCTACATAATCAGTATCATCAAATTTAGGCGACGTATTTCTAAATCCAACTCATAATATAATGTACTGTAACATTACCTTATATGCAAGCTTTTGAGTTAACTTATTTGTAACTTGCAGAAAGAGACCACTAGAATATGAACAATTAGTGGTAACGCCAGTCCATGCCGATGTTTCAATGGAACAAGAAAGACTGAATGATGACAATGAAGACTTCGCCTCTCGCAGACGCTACCATCAATCTACTGCCCTACAAACGCACCTTGTTAGTGTCGATAGCTAATTTAATATTTGCGATATACATAGTTGACTGAAAACATAAATGAAAATAACTGTCACATCATTTTTGTATTCTTTAAATAAAACGTTCTAACATTGAGTCGAGGTACGTAGAACGATTTTCATGTAAAGAGCAAGATTTTCCGCACTTAAAGTAAAAATTCTTTAAACATTTAAATTAAAATGGGTATAAAATACACCTCAAACTTATATCTTATTTATAATCTAAATCAATCTTACTAATATTTTTAAAAAAAATATGCGGGCATTTTACCGTTACCAGATCGTATCAGATGGTAGTAAGAGATTTAGTTTGTATCTATGGTGTTTACATATTAAGGAAAGGATACAACTTATTAGATATCTATAGAATCATACTGTTTGCTGAGTAATAAGAGGAAACAATTACTATATGTAGTTATAAAAACTTTAGTTCCTTTCCTAAGAATGACAGATAAAGAACAATGTAATATTAAGTGCATAAAGATTTGATATTGAGCAATGATAAAGCTTTTATAACCTGTGCTTGTAATAATATGAACTAAACATATGGCCACCTTTAAGGATGAATATTTGAAGTTGTATCATAAACAAAAAACGATTGAATCAACTATTTTATTATACTGTAAAGATTTATATTTTTGTAAAATTTAGTATTATTATTTATTCTTAACTGTAATAGACAATTGCTTTTTACTAGAGGTCTTGGACCAGTCACATTGTATGAGATAGACACAAAGTCAAGCCTATAAGCAAGATATTATTGCAATAATAGCTTTATTTCATATTCATAATTTTTATTTTCAGCCCTTTAAAAATAGATTCTTCCAATACTTTAGAAACCCTAGGAAGACCCTCAAAAGAGTATAATGGTAATTTATGCCTTTTAAAGATGTATAAATTATATGTACTTTATCCAGTCTATTTAATATAAATATTTTTATGTTATGTAACATTTAAATTTTGTAATTAGCAATGAAATATTGTGTATAAGACGAGAATATTCTATGTATACCCAACATACTTAAGTGTTATGCATGAGTATTTATATACCGTAAGTGACGATAGTATCATGTTTTTAACCGTTTTAGCTATATTTATAAGGCTAATTTATTTTAATTGTAACTCAAGATAATATTTTCATGATTTTTATAAGAAGTCTTTTATTTAAAGGTTCTTCATTAATTAAAAAAAATTTAATCACTTTCAAAAACAGTGATAGATTGAGGTGATTTGCTCACTGTCAACAGTAAATGTCTGACGCACACTTAGGGCTTTTTCACACGTACCACACCCACACCACGTCGCAACGACAAAATGCTGTCAAGCAGTGGTTACGTGTGAATAGTGTCGCTGCAGCTTTTTGTAGTTGCGTTGTGGTACCGACAAAATGTCAATGTGGTTGCATTCTCGCCAGTAGTTGCGATGCGGTTACGTCGTATGCAGACACAGTTCGACTCCGGCTATGATTGCGGAACGTGTTTCCGCTATGAAAGCCGGAGAGCGGAGTTGACAGACCAAACTCATGGAATTCGAAGAGGAAACTTTGTCACCTTAGTCGAACGCAGAATGAATGAACCGGGGGAAGCGAAAGCGGCGGGCGCGCACTGTCGTTGCGTCTACGCAACGTTTTGTTTGCGATGTGGTCGGCCACTAGTTCGCAGTGCCGCTGGTGGTCGCGTTGTGGTTGCGATGTGGTCGGTACTCGGTATCACACACACAGTCGATAACGACTGCAAAATGTGGTACGTGTGAATAGTCCTATTCATTTTCAATATAAAATATACGCCCGGCCACGTGGTGTGGTTGTGGTACGTGCTAAGACGCCCTAACACTGAGTAGAGAGAGGGGAAAGTGTCTGTCCGAAATCCGGCTAGCGCTGCGGGTTAGAGTGAGAGAGGAGGAGCTTGCCTGCCGCTGCCGTATACGTGCGATAAAGGGAAGCTAGACAGACTGGCGCCATAAGGCGTTACGTAACGAAGCGGTTTACCCCCCCTCATAAGAAGTTTTCACTTCAAAAATAAAACTAATATTTTAAATTCAAATAATTAACGGCAGTTTTCTGTGATCAAAATTAAATTTTGCCAATTTCAGTTACCATTAGTAATGTTTTGTGGAATTATTTATATTCATAATAAAACATACTTACGTCATTACGCTTTCTTTTCCAGAAAATGCGACAATAATTGTTCGAATAATATTTTCATGCCTAATCTGTGGTAATCATATAAAATGTATTGCTCTGTGGATTTATTACTTTTGACAGCTGACGTTTTTTTTGAATGGTGTATTGGGTTGGGGTCGCTAGTATAATTATAATCAATACTCATTAACTGTGTTCATTTCAAGTCATAATTAGCATTACTCAAGCAGGGGTTATCTTTTTTCATAGTAACGCATTGATTTTCTAGTATAATAAATGTTTGTGTTGTTTTTTTGTGTTTATTTAGTTTCGTTGCATTTCAAAGTATAAATTTGTCTATTCTCCTTCACTAATTCAATTAATGTGAGAAACGGTGTTTACTTTGTCAATAAGCAATTTGTTGAAATCATTCAATTCAATTTTGGAATTAAATACCATGTTTTCAAACTATTTCCTGTAAATATTTAATAAAAAAACAGTAAGGTTATAAGAAATTCAAGTTTTCAATATGGCAGATGATTTAAGAAATTACAAACTGCAGTTGCAACAGGTAAGATAGTGTTGATAATTATGATATTAGGATTTTGTGACACAATTAAATGTTATTTTCCACAATATTTTAGGTTGAAGCTGCTTTATTGACTGACCCACAAAATGAGGAACTTTTGAAACTTAAAACAGATTTGGAAGAAGTAATTGAGTTAACACAAGATCTGATAAAAACTCAAGAGGGTGAATCCAAAATTCATAGTTCTAGTAATGATGATGATGTTACAGCTTCCCTGCTGGCTGCTGAGAATGCTGCTATTCCTGGGAGGTCAATTTCTATGTGGCATGTTGGAGAAAGATGTCTTGCAAAGTGGAAAACAGATGGAATGTTTGTATTTATTTGTATCTTGTTGGTTTATTTAATCTCTAAAATGTAACTCTTACAGAATAATTAAAATTTACCAATGATTGTGAATTGAGTGTTGCTGATCAGCTTTTAGTAAATATGTTTTTTCTTTTTTAGGTTTTATGAAGCTTCTATTGAGGAAGTTAATGCAAGCAGTTTAAAAGTGAAATTTGATGGTTACACAACACTAGAACCTATTTCTTTAAATGACGTGAAGTCTATTGGGTCTGGAACCAAGAGACCTTCTAGTGGCGATGAAGGAAAGTAAGTTAAATTTTTTAAAAAATATTGAAAGTGTATATCTTATTAATTCTAATTGCCTAAAAAATTTTGGTTATATTTACTAATTGTAAGGTACATACATGGTTTTTACAAATTTGTTATGTGTATAGATTGTTTCTATGAATTCCCATCTATCTAATGAAAATATTCTGATACACATCTAAAATATTTTATTAATGCAATTATATAATTAAAATATAACTATCTTAATATTTTTTTCAGACCTACTAAAGGTTATAATAGAGAATATTTAAAAAAGAAGAAGCAGAAGAAACAGCAAAGGTTTAAGCAAATAGAGGAAGAAAGAGAAAGTGAGAAAAATAAATGGCTTAATTTCCATACCAAGGCATCTAAAAAGCCTGGAATTAGGAACAAGAGTATATTTGCATCACCAGATAATTTAGAAGGCAGAGTTGGAATTGGTACTTGTGGTATATCAGGCAGACCAATGACAGAATATACACCCGGTGAGAAGTGGAAAAAAGGGAGTGGATAAAATTAATAAATAGTTTTTAATAAATTAGGCTATATGTATACTTATGTCACTAATAAAAGTACTACTTATTTTATAGAAATATTTGTTTTACTGACCACATCTTTAAAAATGTATGCTCATATTTCTCTAATGAGAGTTGTTGCAGTTTGCAAAAGACTTTACCCGTATAATTAGTGCCACAATGTGAATCAAATGTTTTATCTCAGAACACCTATTTCTTAGTAGCGGTAAACTAACCTCAGAATAATTGAAAGCAATTTTCGATTTAGAACTGCCTTATTAGCATTATTAAGGAACTTGCAGCCATAAAATAAATAAATAAATAATTTCATTATTATCAATAGCATCAGGGGTGGTGCAGAACATTAAATAGTTTGCCAGAAAAAGGCATTATAACAACACCAATTTTTCTTACTTGTATAGTGTGTCCTGAAAATTTTCGAGTGGAGTAAGAGTAGTAGAGTGTCCATTTTCAAAGGTGAATATAGTGTGATAACACCATACTTCGTTAAGGTAACTTTTATTACGCCTGATATACTTTTCCAAAATGTTTTTATAAAACTTTGCATTAAATTTATAAAAGTTATACACTTAATTTCCTTAGGGTAGATACTATAATTAAGGTTTCGTGGCTATTTGAATAAGAAAGGTATCTGACTCCGCATCCAGATATAAACTCGGGTACTCAATTAAGGCTATACTTGTTTTTGTACTAATAACAAAATAAATTAGAGGGTGTGATTTCTGTTCGAAGCACAAATTATAAATATATTTGTTCTCCGCCTCTGATAGATTGTAAAGACCCGACCGAATCATCAATCCATAAGCTGGCCCAGGCCAGCCATATAGGACATAGACTGAATGGCTAGGCCGCAATTACTGTCTATTAAAACAATCGGATTCAAATGTACACGTCGAAACGAAAGTAAACAAACTAATATTGGTATCTAATTACAATTTCGTTGTTTAGTAGGTTTGAAAACACAAGAGGTTCTTGCTTCAATTAAATAAGTTGTAATTAAAAGTAGGCGGTATTGTTAGTTAAATACGTATGATGAGACATAAGATCCTGTTTAAAGTACCTATAACCTACTTATTCCTTTTTTGTTTATATGCATAATTGTTTCAAACAATAGATGTTTTTTTTTCATCCTTTTTAGTATCATCTTTTTCAGAAATCAGCTATCGATAAACCACGAACCGACTAAGCTGTTGTGCGACAGTTATAAACATGATCATGTCTTCGCGGAACTTATGTTAAGCTACTTCAAGAAAACCACATTCTAGGAAAAAACTTAAAGCTCTGAGTACTCTATTATGAATAAGCATTATGAGCACTCTATAATGAATAAGAATAAGATTATACCTAACAGGGATAAATAATTAAGCATTAAAACCGTTAAATAGTTAAAAATTCATTGCTACCACATAATACTCCTATTCATAAAACTGAATTCTATCACTCCTCCTTTACTGTGCAAAGTATTCTGCTATGGAATTCCCTACCAATTGATATTAGACGAGCTCAGTCCTTAAATTTATTCAAAAAGCTTCTTTTGATCATTTTCTTTCTGCCTCGTAATTAGCTCTGCTTATATATATTAATTATTGTGACTCTGTTAACCTTTTGATTGTATTTTAAATTTTTGTTTATACATATTTTTATTGTTATTTTTTCTTTAGACTTTATTTTATTTTAGTTATAGTAACGTGTTATTTTGAGTTTTTTTTTTTAATAATGTTTGCATTTCTTGTACTCTACCCTCTGTAGGTGTTTCTTTTTCATTGTTCCACATTAGGGTTGCCTGTAAGAAATCTCTTGTTAGCGATAAAGCCGCCCGTTGCCTTATAACTTTTGTAACCTGTTTTTTTTATTTTTGTTATGTGTATGTTTGTGAATAAGGTAATAAAGCATAAATAAATTATTGTTTTAAAAAGCAAACAAATTATGGTCTTTTTCGTTAATTACTTTCTAAATTAGATAAAGAATATTATAGATTGGTAATAATATTCCTAAACGCAAAGCATGAATAGCTACCAATAAAACTCGAACCGACTAAGCCGTTGCACAGTTATTTTCTAATCTATTGTTTTCGCGAATCTATTGTTTAGTTCTAAATTAATTTTAAGGGTCAAAATTATAGAAATAATCTTTAAATTCACTAAGTACTCTTTACAATAGATACATAATACTACAGATAAGATTATTTGCAATTGCAAACCCTAAATTGCTACCAATAAAACTTGAACCGATAAAGCTGTCGTTGCACAGTTAGGTATGAACGCATTGTTTTCGTGATTATTTTGTTTATTTTAAGTTAGTCAAATTATGGGAAATAACTAAAATTACAGCACTGTGGATAAGTTTATACTTAATAGTTACTTATCGATCAAGGTCTATAGGAACGTCAATTATTATTAACTGATATAAAACAAGGTAAGAATGTAATTAGTGCCTATACTAATAGTAATCTAATACCGAAGAATCTAATTAATACTTATATTAAATTTTGCAGCTCCAAACTAGGACCCATTAGTACATATTATAACGATTATTTAATTTACTTGGAAAAAGAGATTATGTTTAGGTATGTGTTTTATAATATTATACCTACTTGATACCATAATATTGTAAAAGGAAAATAGAGATAAAAAAAAAATATCAATCCACTGAGAGGATTGATATTTTACAATATATATCCTCTCAGTGGATTGATAATTTATAACTTAAGTATTTTTTGTTAAAATTATAAAATGAATTGGTTGAGAAAGACTATTTTAAATAATTAATGAATTAATAGATTTAAGTCAAGTCTGTTTAAGATTCTTTACTTAAGATAGAATAATCATATGGAATAAAATAAATAAATAAATGTTATCTAAGCTGTTTTCTAAATTTGTGTTTATAACATTAGTTTATAGCTTTAGATTGCATAAAATTATTACCTATAAGTAAATATTTCACTCTTAGATCTGATGGAGGAGGTGAACCATTCTATATATATTCGATAACTAGATTTCTATTTTCTGATATCTGTATCCAGTTACCAAGTGACCTCAGACATCCTCTTAGTTTTTCTAGAAATTCTCCAAAAATAGAGTTTTTGCGAAATATAACCCTATGTAAATTCAGCACACTAAAACACTCTTAAGTAAATTCAACAAATTTTTCGTATTTTAGAAATGCTTATAATGTTAATACGTGTTATTTATGTTTTCTTTTAATACGTGGATCTTACTCTTCAGAGAAACAGACCTTCATTATATAGACACTTGCTAAAACTTTTTTGATTTTCGAAGTGGTCTCCGTCTAATCTTCTTTACATTTCAAGCAATGACAGAAAAGCAGTGGCCCTTTCTTCCTTAGGGGCGTTCTATTTTACCGCAGTAGTGCAGTTTACTAATCTCATTCAAGCTGCTGCGTGGAGAAGCACGCCTACTACTGAACACAGAAACCAGCACACAAACATACCATTGGAAATAAAGATGATGATTCAGGAGAAACGCAGATTGCGAAGAGTTTGGCAACTGAGTCGTCATCCACAAGACAAGACCGCCCTTAATAAAGCCATTGTAGAATTGAAGGAAGCTATAAAGAATGTTAATGATTTAACAATGCAAGCAAAGTTGGAGTCTCTAACCGCTACTAAGGCCAGCAACTATTCGCTCTGGAAAATCACCCGTTCTTGTAGCCAACCTAACAAATCAAAAGCCCCAATTAAAAAGGATAACGGCTGGGCCAGAACGAGTCAGGACAAAGCGAACTTGTTTGCGAACTACCTAACAAGCTCCTTTAAACCTAATGTAACACTAGACAACTCATCAGAAGAATATGTTGACCAAGTTCTAAGTCAAGACCTTCAAATGGATCTTCCCCCTAGACCTGTGTCGCCTGCAGAAGTCATAAAAACTATCAAATGCCTGGACAGTAAAAAGGCACCAGGTTACGACCTGATAACAAAAGAAGTATTGATGGAACTACCGAGAAAGGCTATGATCTTCATCACTATACTCTTCAATGCTATTTTACGAATAGGCTACTTCCCAGTTGCGTGGAAAATTTCAGAAATCATCATGATTTATAAGGCTGGCAAACTGATGACCGAAAAAACATCCTACCGACCAATCAGTCTGCTGCCTACTCTTTCGAAGGTATTGGAAAAGACAATACTTCGTAGAATTGTGCCAAGCCTTGTGGAGCGCAAAGTAATACCAGATCATCAATTCGGCTTCAGACAATACCATGGCACAGTGGAACAAGCTCACAGAGTATGTGACGCCATAAGAAAGTCCTTAGAACAAAGGGAATACTGCTCATCAGCGTTTCTGGATATCCAACAAGCATTTGACAAGGTCTGGCACAAAGGCCTACTATGTAAGATCAAGCAGAATATTTCCCACTCTTACTTTCTAATATTCAAATCTTACCTAGAGGATCGCATATTTTATGTAAAAGAAGGTGACGCCACTTCGGAATTTCAAAACATTGATGCCGGGGTACCACAAGGATCTGTTCTCGGCCCCATGCTCTACACGTTGTACACTGCTGACCTACCGCTATTGCCAGGAATAACCACAGCAACATTTGCAGATGACACCGCTATATTAGCAAGCAATAAAGACCCAGGACTTGCATCAGAGGACTTGCATCAGAGGACTTGCAGAAGGGCCTTGACAAAGTTAACGAATGGCTGCAAAAATGGAAAATAAAAGCTAGTGCCGCGAAGTCAGTACACGTGACCTTCAGCCTTAGAAGAGGAGACTGCCCACCTGTAAAGTTGGACCAGTGTATTCTGCCCCACAGCGATCATGTAAGATATCTTGGCTTACACATTTATCGTGGATTAACGTGGAGGCACCACAACAAATGTAAAAAGCAGGAGCTACAGCTAAAGTACAATAGCCTTTACTGGATGCTAGGAAGAAACTCAACCCTTTCTCTAGATAACAAACTTCTTATATATAAAGTCATCCTAAAGCCCATTTGGACATATGGCCTCCAACTGTGGGGCAGCGCAAGTGATACCAACATAAATATACTCCAGCGACAACAGAACAAGATCCTAAGAGCAGTTGCAAAAGTACCATGGTACATAACCAACAACGAAGTTCACGAGGAAATCCGGAGACTGGCAGCTAAATACAAAGAGCGGTTAAGCTGTCACCCGAATGAACTTGCTCGCCAACTCACCATTAGACAGTATGTGAGTCGACTAAAACGTCACCATATTCTAGAGCCAGAAGACCGGCAGTAGCTCTATACAGAAGATGAGTAGATGCTTCCAATGGGAAGTCACTCCACATGACAGCACCACAGAAAAAAATCGCTCATAGCCTTGGGGCTGATTGCAAATAACCGCAGAAAAAAAAAAAAAAATTACCTGTTTACACCTGCTTTCCCGGAAAAATGTAGGCAATGTTTCATAAGCGTATTCTATATGTTTTAAACTTTAAATCACATCAGATCAAACAATCAGATGGAACCTGCCAAAAAGTTTAATTACTCCGTTTTAAATTAAGAATAGCCATGACCATATTCGTCAGGCAATACATTTGGGACATATTTGTATTTTATAAAAATTGGTCTCTTTGGTTAAACAAATGGGTGTAGGGGGATCTTTGTCTGTCATTAGGTTACCAAAGAGTTATATTATCGAAAGGAAAGGAAGGATCAAATTCTTTTAGTGCCTTAAAGTTTATACTTCTCATTTACGCTGCTAAGTAGCTATCATTTTTTTTAAATTCATTGTTTCTTTACTGAGACATCATGGAACATCTAGCTTAACTTAAGACTAATAAGTAGTGTAAGTCTAAGAAATTTACTAGTTAGGATATTTAACATAAAAAAGTCTCCAATATCACTACTGCTAGGTCTATTCTTGTGTTCACTCTGTTCTTGTGTTCTATTTTTTTTTTCACTTACCACTGTTTAGCACTTAAGACTAACGAAAACCAACACTAATTCACTACTTTCCTGAGCACTTTGTTTCGGTATTGTTGGATTATTTGGGTGGCTCTTACTGGTACAGCCCCACAGCTTGCAACCATACAGGCATCAGGTCTTGTTAGTAGATTAATAATTTATTTTGTACTCATAACGTGGAATGCCTTCCGAGCAACCAGTACAATTTACTGTAACGAGGATCCAACTCTTCGCGCTTCTTTTTAACATGGACCTCAGCTATATGCATACATACATACATTTTGCCTGAATTATCATGAGTCTCTATACAAATGTGTTAGAAAATAGTATTAATAAAAAATATTTTACTAATTTTTCTTAGAGATATTTATTATTATTAAATGTTAAGCACAATGCAAAAGCCAAACATCTGAGCTAGCCATGTGTTTGTTAACCTAGGATTAATTCTGACAAGAAGTCAACCTATAATAAATTATTTTTAGAAAGTGATCCATTTTCATTTCCAAAAGCGTATACCTATAGAATGACCTAGTTTAATATGTACGTAAACACACTTAAATCTATATTTGGTGAAGTTAAAGTTAGATGTGTTACGAAGTTTAACTTGGCACATACGAACAATTAACTTCTTCAAAAACGATTTGGTTATCTTAACGGCGAAACGCTAAAAGAACCTATTTATGTGAATAGCAATAACTTATCAAATGGCTAATTACGGTCGCGAAACCACCTGTCCGCTATCATCACTGTACATAGGCCTTCGCATATACTTCCGCGCGTCTTAAGCCGGGACCCTCCCCCGCGGTGCTATTGGCTAGAGAACAGAGGTGCGCGCGCAATGGCCCTCCTCGCAGCCTGGTGTGAGACGACGAGACTCCGTGTGAGCCGGTCGTGGAAATGTGGACCCGCAAGCAGTGTCGCCGCGACCACGCCGTCACATTCTCGTCACCGCACGCGATCCCGTGCAAACTACGAACACAAACTTAACTTTAACTTATACGAGCTTATAAATATATATTTTCGTAGATGCATATTTAGTGTTAGTAGCTTTTAGTGATGTGCGATGGCTAAGCGGCGGGTCGTGCGTTGGTCTAGTTGGCAATTGCGGCGGCTGGCCACTTGCGCATGGGCATGCGCCTTACTCTTACCGCTTCTTACTGATGTCCACGCTGATGTAGATACATCAACTGGTCATGGAGACAACACACTTACCAATTCAGGTAATTTAAGATAGATTATTATTTAGTATATGTATAATAGGAGTATTCACATATATTTTCAAAGAAGAAATCCGTTAAATTTTTCTGAATTACGACTGGACCGCTCACATCACTGTATTCTTTATATTTAGGTTGTGCACTAGCCATAATATAAAAATACTATAAGGGTCTTTCATTAAGGGCTTCCTATCTTCAAATTTAAATAAAACAAAATTTGTGTTAGATATCATCAACAATTTTTATTGGTTTGAAAGGCCTATCGATGCCATTATGTGTGGAATAAAATCGTTCAAATGTCCGCCCCGGCTTCTCTGGGTGGCGCATCCGAAATGTCAATTTTCATGACGCTGGTCAAATAGGCTGAATGACCGAGGGGGTTTGTTGGGAGGGCCGTGGGTTTGTGGTAATGGGGGGCCAAGTCACGACTCAAAATTCGAAGTTGTGGTTGGAACGCCGGTTTGTGAGACGCGAGCCTCGGTTCTGATGCTCTCACGGAAGGGCGATGTTTTCGGTGAGGTTTCGTGACGGGTGTTGTGATGATGAAAGTGGATCAAATTTACACAACTGCGAATAGTCTTGGGAGATATGGGGTAAATGGGGAAGCGCGACGTTGCCCGATAGAACACCCATTTTGATAAAACAATTTTATCATTTGCACGTGTTGTTGAACGCTATATCCATCCATGGTGATTTGGCAAAAAGATGAAAAATACAGAATTTGACAGATGTAGCTTAAGAAGATGGCCGTAACTGTGTTGGAAGTCCCATTGAAAGACCTTTATAAGATTATTATTTTTTATACAGTTGTATATTATTCTACAGAGGTCTAGCAGCTAGAGAAACATACAAAAATATATATGTTTTGTCTCTTCGTATAGTCAAGTGTGTTTTAAAGAGAAAATTATCCAAATTAAATAGTATAATTAATATGTGTTAGCCAGATCCCGCCGGGGGATTGCTTCCATTTTTATTTATGGTGGTATTTATTAAAAATCTCTATAAGATATGAATCGAATGATAAATTAAATACAAGAAATAATGATGTCAAAATAATGATAAGCTAAACTCTACAATGTCCAAATATATATTTAAAAGTCCTAACTACCTACGTAAAACTAGAATCGAAACTAGAATGCATTTTGCATATTTTAAGTTTAATACATATTTAGTAAGATGTTTCGCAAGGTATTTGACATTTCTTCACCAACATCACAAACACTTACCTTATTGGCTTAATGACAGTATAAATTAGTTTTTTTGTGGTTTCGGTGTGTGTCATCATAACGTTAACTATACATACATACCTCAATCGTCCTGTAAACAAACTGTTATTCTAATTCTTAGTATTTAAAACTTTCATTACTTTGATTTTAATATAGGAAAAAAATATCCTTGTTTGGGGAATTAAGAATTGATTGTCAATTTGTTAAGTTACAAAAAATAATGAAGGAAACAGACGTGTGACATTATTAACGCTTATAGAGTTTTATAAGCATTAACTATGGTTTCTAATAGATACTATTAGGAATTGTGGTTGCCAGAATTAAAATATTATATTTTAAACCAGAAACTAGTTTGTAGGCACTTAAAGTAGTGCACTTCCTTCAAAATCGTGTTAAGATAACGTAGCAGTTTTTATTTCTCTTAAATTAATGCATGAATTAATTTCTTTTAAGTAAAAATAACTTGTTTCCCTTTTTTGTATTGGACACACTAATTTATATTTATCCGTTAATGCTTATGAACTGATGACTACGTTTCATGCAGTGGGTGGTGTTATGGCGCTTAATTTTATTAATTATGCTGCAATTATTAGGAAATTTCAGTACATATTAATGATGAGCGATGGTGGCGAATGGAGATGTAGGGAGTTGTAACATTGAAATGGTTAAGTTGCTTTTGTAAGTTTTAAAATAGTTATTAAATATTTTTAAAATAAATTACAAATCGAACTCTTAAATAAATTGGCTTAAATATACTTATGTACCTAGTCCAGCCATAGATTTCTGTATACAACCGAAAATGCTGTTAATATTTTAATGACGTTTTGAATAAAATAAATATGTACAAATTCTTTAAAAAATGTACGACGCAGGAGTTTAAGTTTCGAGCTATCTGATAGGTATTTACGCACAGGTTTCACAGGAAACTCAGCCAGTGTTGATCCAAAGGTTTTGTAAGGGAATAAGTGTTGTTTAGAACAGGCCAGGTACTCTAAATATAACTTGTTTTGTTTTACAACAAATTTTTTATGCTTTCCAAGTTTTTTATTCATAAAAACCTTCCTCAGCGTTTAAGGAATAAATAAAAAAATACTCGAATTGGTCAAGCCGTCTTCGAGTTTTAAGCTTAACAACATATTTTGAGATTTTTTTTTGTATACATATATTCTTCAATATTATACATATATTTTTTATGTTAGTAGTTATTTTACAATATGATAATAAAAATAGACCAATGGCGGTCCAACCAACATTTTATGAGTTATGCATCTGTTTTATTAATAATGATTATTTTATATTATTAGGCCCGACATACGCCAACAATATTTAGCTTCACCATACGAGCTAGTGTTAATTGTACACAAAGAAGAAAAATTGAAACATATTTTATTTCCACAGCCGTAGCCGCAATCAAAAGAAATAACGCAAGACCTAAGAGTAAATTTTAACTTAGGGACTTAGGGTTATTCAAGAAAAGAGCGTATTAAGGACCCGCGAGACCTCTGGCATTGAGAGTGTCCATGGGCATCGGTATCACTTAACATCAGATGAGCGTCCTGCCCATCCACCCCCTGTTATATAAAAAAAATATCCTATTTTAATATTACCTCGATAAACCAAATCTGCTGATTATAAAATACACATATGAAAATTTTATGTTATTTCAAAAGGGAGAAACGCATCTGAGACGTTAGACAATACTTCTGACGATCCATTATCGCATTACTGGGTTTTGGGGGTTGTTCCTATGACGTGTATAGTTTTATATTTTTATCCGAGATAGGTCGGAGTCACACCTTACAACTGTCTTACATATTTTTCTGTCTTCATACATTATTTCTTACAAGTTTCTTTTATGAAACAGGGGACAAACGGGCAGTAGGTTTACTGGATGTTAAGTGATACCATGTACCGGTCTTTTAAGAATTGAACACTCTTTGTTTGAAGGATCCTTCCTTAGGATCCTAGTTGAATTGTTTCTGAAGTACTTCAGCGGGTAACTTCAACATAGTGGTGGTGCGCGGAAAAACTGACTTATGTATTTAGTTCGTCAATAATGAAAAAAAAAATGTGAGCCGTCACGGGACGCCTGGCAGATGTAAAACCTCGACATTATTTTGTAAAAATAATAAGCAGAAAAGAACAGATTGTGATAGGAACTAAATATGTCATAATGATAAAATAAAATATTACGATTTTTTTTCCAGATGACTATTTATTGAATAAACATTTATTTTCATTAAATACAAAAATTTACGAATTTATTTCAAATCGGGACTACTTAATTCGTTTAATCAGTGACTTCGAAATACACACTGTAGTCCAAGCGCCGGGTTTTTTTTTGCAAAGTACTAGAGAACGGATTTTTTTGGCGAGATATTCGACAAAACGCGTTTTTCAAGATGGCGGCTGAAGCGAACCTTAAGTCATGACGCCCACTTGGATTTACATTCAGGGGACACCCCTGAACATATACCAAGAAAAATTCGGTCTCTAGAACGTTGTGTTACGAACCTACTGTTTTGGTTGGGGCGCTTGGACTACTGTACACACTACTGCAAGACCGTCATATAGCATGGCGACGCGTCGCCACGGCATGCGTCGCCACGCCAGAAATTGGTTTTACGTGCGGCTATAGATGTTTCACATCAAAAATTGAAAAAGCTTAAACCAAATTTGTGCTACACTCACAGTGCAGTGCATTAGGTCCATAAACATCGCAAATTTTGTTCGCGGCTTGCGTTGCATTTTTACCTTTTTTGTAGTAAAATTTTAAAATGTATCGAATTTCTTCATTAGATTCACTTATCTTGAAGGTACGAAAAATAAATAAAAATCACACATTATCCTAATATGAATTTGGAATTATCTTCTTTGAAATCTCAACTTTCAATGATAACAAAAACAGGAAAATACATATAGTATAGCATTTTATTACAAGTTCATACATAGTGTAATGTATTTGACGGCTCATTGGTCTAGTGGTTAGTACCCCTGACTGCGAATCCATGGGTCCCGGGTTCGATCCCCGGCTGAGACAAACATCGATGTGATGAGCATTTGGTGTTGTGCTTAGGTCTTGGGTGTTTAAATATGTATTTATATGTCTATCTATCTATAATATGTATGTATATCCGTTGCCTAGTACCCATAACACAAGCTTCACTAGCTTAGCATGGGACTAGGTCAATTGGTGTGAATTGTCTAATCTAAAAATAAAAAAAAATAAAAAAAATGCGAAAAGACTTTTTCCCCAACCTAATATGTATACCTTAGTATAGCGTGGCGACCCGTCGCCACGGCAAGCGTCGCCACGCCAACAATTCGGTTTACAAGTGAGCCTATAGATGTTGCATATCAAAAAAAATTAAAATTGTTTCAATGATATTTTCTTTCGCATATACATAATTGCAAATTAGTAAGCACAGCAAACCAAATAGACACTCGCAGTCTGGCCGAAATTTTGATCAGATTTACTAACTAATAATGATAATACCTAAGAGTTGCATATGCGTATCATATTTAGGTGCAGACATAGTCATGCCAGTAATTTGCTACCCATAAATTACACGTTTAACTGAATTACGGGCGTTAAAAGCATTCCACTATTGCTGAATGTGAACCATTTTCATTTCCGTGAAACTCGCGTCCACTGATATGTAGGCATTCGGCATATCTACTCTAATGAGCTTTAAATCAATAAAATTTAATTAACGTATCCTTTGTAATGTCTCCACAAACTCTATTGTTATAGGTAAGCCCTACTTATGAGTAATGTCATCTGTATGTGGATTTTGAATACATACGTAGTATGAAATTGAATCGGTATGATTGGCTGCATTTAAAGTGATTCAAATGAAATGTGATAGTTAAGGATTCGTGACCTCTTAATGAGGTAAAATAAATTTTATTTTTAATGCTCTTATCATCGAGCTTCTAAGACTTATTGTTTAACCGGGAACCGAAGACAACCGGGAACTTTATGTCGCGTGGGATATTCTACGATTAGAGAAATAAGACATTCGACAATTTATTATATTTGCAATAATTATGCTGTACATTATAAACCGTACCAATTGTGGTTTCGCTGGAACTCGATCCCAAGATTTAACAGGACTGTATAATTACTGTTATTAGAAGTGGGGTTGTTATCGAAAATAGATATTCGGTAACTACATTACAACTAAACGAAAGTTGTTTCATTTATGTAATGCTGCGTATCTGTTTGTACAGATTGTTTTAATAGGACATAGATAAATTTAAACAAATAATATTTGCTATGAATTAGCACATGGACACTCATGAAACAGATCCCGCATAGCTCTTACTAGGTTTGTATTTCTGATTTTCACAGTTGTTCACTGTGTATTTTTGTGAATTTGTATCATCATACCTTTAGGGCTTTTTTGAAAAAAAAAAAATATATATTTGGAAAATCGGTCATGTTTGTGGACCACAGTATGGTATATATATTATATATAAGCAAATTACTTTATAATATCAGCTAATAAATTTTAATTTCCTTTTTTTAATTTTTTTTTAGTTTGCGTAGTCTGTATATGACGAAGATTAGCAATTAAAAAACATAAAATATGGATTTGATTTGCAGATGTGTTGCATTAAATGTTCCGCTCGAATAACGAATTCAAAAAGTACTACATATTAATATCAATCTGAGATTGTTATTATTAAACTAGATTATTGTGTTTATATAATATTAATGATCCATTTGCGTACTTTTTTCTAAATTGTATTAATAGAAACTATATGTGTAATAGCTTTATGTTTATGTCTGATTTCTATTCAAGTAACAATGTTCTAATAAACTTTTTTTAATGTACAACACTCGTAATTTGATGCAAAATCAGTTTGATAATCATGCAAATATGCTATTTTTATCAAAATAAGGTTAAGTTAAATTTAGATGTTTAAAATTGGTAAATTCCTTAGGTAATTCAAGTATTGAAATAAATCTAAGAGAGAGTTGATGCCACATAAATTCTTGTTTCTCTCCTTATATTTAACAATTAATGATATATTACCTAATATACCTTTATAAACGGTGAGCGACGCCTTTATTGTAAGTATAACAGTTAGCTCTTTACAAAACTTCCTCAGCTGGGACTTTCCGCACCTAACTATGTAACAAATTAATCAAGATTTCACCTCGCACAGTATGAACTATGATTTCTAGTCGGGAACAATAGGTAGGAGGCATAGCTGAATCAAACTTGTAGAAGTTAAATCACGTCGCTGCTACATTTGGAGAGACCTTTTGTTACGGAGCCAAGTAATGAAAGCTTTGATAATAATTTAGGAACAGCAGAAGTGTCAGCGGTTTAATAGTGAAAACAGGGTCCGAGCATTCCAGCGAGAGGCGGGATCTATCGTCGCATGACAACCGCGCCCGCTCCAAACTAAAATAATTATCATCATTGTTCTCGAGTACGACGAACGCTTTAATTGTTCATTTACATTTGCAACGATGATGCCAGTTCGGAACTATTTCGCTCAGCACTCATTTCACACCAGCCGGTTGGCCGCAGCGCGCGGTTCCTACATGGCTAATGGCCTGAAAAATGGAAATGAATTGCTGCATTTCTCGCCGTGCTAGTATGTGCTATTCCTATTGTTTTAAATAGAATAAAAATGAA